TCCAATGACTCTCAGCTTCACACTTTCCAGAGAATAAACTATCAATCCTTTGTCAAAGTTAGAAAAGTTTGGTCACCAGCTTTTCAACCCAGCTTCCTAATTTTGTTGTTGTTGTTAAGTATTCTCAAGTCAGTTCTGACTCAAACCCTGTATAGGGTTTCCGAGGAGCAGCTGGTGAGTTTAAAGCACAGACCTTGTGGTTCAAACCCACCTTGCAGTCCAGCACATTAACCTTGCAGTACCACACCAGGACTCCACTTATTCCACCCCCAGAGGTAGCTCATGCTGCTCATTCCTGAGTCTTTGAGCTTCCCAACTTTCCCAACTGCTGATTTGTTGTTATTTAGTGCCATCAAATTGGTTCCAACCCATAGCAATCCTATATAGGGTTTCTAAGGAGTGGCTGGTGAGTTTGAACTGCCAACCTTGAAGTTCAAATCAACTTTGAAGTCTAGCTCATTAACCCAGAACACCACATCAGGACTTAACTGCTGATTAAGGATTCAGCTTTCCTACATTTGCTTCATCAGTTACCTGTTAACCATCATCTTCCAGTTTCACAAGTCCATTGCTATTACCATATCTTCCTTTTTCTTTGACCCCATTGGCTTATGCCTTTAGGGAATATCTCTTTACGGTCTTTTTAGAGGACCTTCCTGAGAGAATTGGGGTGAATCTGTTCACTGCCCTTTCTTCAACTGGAAGTCCAGATGTAGGTCTCTTGGTTTTTAGAAATTAGCATTTTGTGGGATCTCACTTAGTGTGAAAAATGTGGACCACAAACCTCTTATGAAAAAGTCAACTTTTCTCCAAAAAAAAAACAAAAAACCCTAGACTTTTAAGTGATGCCAGCTCATGTAAGTTTTCCTTTTAGAAAAACAAGCAAACAAAACAAGATGAATGTACGGTTTCAATCACTTCAGAATCCTTTGACCCCATGCTTCTGAATTACCCCAGAGTCAGTTAATCACAGTTCTGCCCCTCCCAGCCACTCTTCTTCCCTGAAATTAGAGACTGCTGATTCCATTTCCTTTAGCCTTTTAATATTTTCCAATCAGTGCTTTCAACTGGACAATGTACATAGCACGCTTCCCTCATTGTTATTGATCCAGCATTAAATATACAAAAGTCAGAGGGTGTGGTGTGAAAAGTAAAGTAACAGTGACCGTCCACAGGCAGGAACAATATACCATTCTCTTTAAAAGTCAACACAAGCGATTTGCCAAAAGATAGTCCTATGACACAAAGGTGAAAGGACCTCCTTATTTCCATTCTTACATACATTTTATTCTTTCAGAGAATACTGCGAGGAACCTGGGTGACTCTTGGTGTCCTAGATCTCAACATAAACCTTTTTCTACTAGATTCTACTAGAAAAATCCATTCTGCCAGGGTGGTGGTGGTGTGCCGGGAAGTCGGTTCCAACTCATATAGGGTTTCTGAGGCTGTAAATCTTTACAGGAGCAGAAAGCCTCATCTTTCTCCTGTGGAACCACTGGTAGTTTCGAACTGCTGACCTTGAGGTTAGCAGTCCTACTGTAATCGCTATAGGATACAAAGGTATCTTTTGTCCCATAAGAGTTTTCGCCCAGTGCTAATTTAAGAAAAGCCCTTAGGAGACACAAATGATTTACAACTACAGGAAAAATTATATCTTAAGCACTCTGATCGTTTTGCAAATTAGTTCAGTGCCAACCCCTTATTTTTACCAGTAAGGTCCAGGTAGTATAAATAGTTAACAGCTTCTAACTGAAAGGTTGCAGATCTGAGTCCCTGAGGTGATTTGGAAGAAAGTCCTGGTGATCTGCTTCCAAAAATCCCAGTCACTGAAAACTGAATACAACATGATTCTAGTCTGCCACACCTGGGATCACCATGAATCAGAGCTGACTCTCCAGGCCACTTGGCAACTCACTGGCAGGAATGACATATAATCAGCCTGGACCTCTAGACTTACGCCATTCTGTTATATATGTGAGAATACGCCAAATTCCAAGAACTTCCGGCAGTATTACAGGGATATTGCAAAGACTCAGACAGCTCTCTAATGGATTTCAGAAGCAGTAAAAACCAAGCCAAACCTGCTGCCGTTAGAAGCATGGTGGTGGTGTTGCTAAGTGTTATAGTCAGTTCTGACTCATAGTGACCCTGTATAGGTTTTCTGAGTTTGAACTGCCCACCTTGTGGTTAGCAGTCCAGTGGTTATCCTAGGGAGCCACTGTGGTCCCTTGTTGAAGGGTGTTGCTGTTAAGTACTGTCAAGTTGATGCTGACTCATGGTGAGTGACCCTGTACAGGGTTTCCAGGGAGCAGCTGGTGGATTTGAACTGCTGACCTTGTGGTTCTCAGTCCAGTGCTGATTGACAGTACCACACCAGGAATCCTGATGGCCACATAGGCCTCCCTTATTCCTATCTTGTAAACACAGAAGTTTAACCAAGTAAGGGATAATAATGACAACAAAAAGAAAGAGCAGATTCAATTTAAAAGTAAAACTGAAAATAATCTCCTATCTGCATCGATTTCTTTGGGGATGCCTAAAAGGGGTAGAAAAGCATTCCTAGCTATGAGACTTGAATTATTCTTCATGACCCCAGAAAGAACATAGGGGACAGATAGAAAAGCCTCACACCACACTCCTGAACCAGGCCCCAGAGTGGTGTGTTATATATGGATCTATGAGCTTGACCCAGAGCCTGGCTACTTTGCAGCAAACCCAGAAAAGCTCTTGGCAAGCTGGGCAAATTTTAACACTAATGGCAGTAATACAATGCAAGAATCAGAGGGACTTGATGTGTGTGGTTTCTTTTCTTTCAACTTGGGGTTGGGGGGGTGGGGGAGGAATAAAAAAAACAGACAGATGACTACAGGTGGACCAGGGATGACCACAGATGAAGCCATAGGAGGTTTTTCAAAGCCAGTTGGGCACGGGGTGGGAGTGCAGGTCAAAGACCTGGAAGAGTGCAGACAGGGGAATAGGGGACAACTCTTCTTGAAACTCTATCTTTCAGAATCAATTCTGTATAATCCCTGCCCCAAATCATATAAGATCTTTTCTCCTTCTTTTATTCCATTTGTTTCCACAGTCTGAGACACACTACCAGTTAATCAGTTAAGTTTAGGCAACCAGTGACTTTTTATGGTGGTCTACATGTGTGGTGCTATAGGATCAGCACTGGACTGCGAACCACAAAGGCAGCAGTTCAAACCCACCAGCTGCTCCTCGGAAACCTTACACAGTGTGGCTGTGAGTTGGAACTGATTTGACGGCACTTAACAACAACAACAACAGAAGAATGTGCAGTTCTATAGGAACACTTAATGTGTAGATCCAGTCTCTTATATTCTAAGTAGCCTTTGGAAGTTCCAGGACCAATGGAGTCTGATGACTGATGCAGAAAATCCACAAAGGTCTTAACCAGTTGGGGGCAAATATGAGGTCAGAACTTAGAGCCATTGCCCTCTTGTTTTGCCAGGAAGTTGTCTATCTGGTGCTAAGATTACAATTGTGGGAAGACTTGAAACCTTTTGAGGGCTTCCCTAGACACTTAACTTACCCCAGCAGCAAATGCATTAGGGAGAGTCAAGACAACTGGATTGTAAGAACAAGTAAACAGAGCCAGGCAAACACTTGTCCTTCCTCAACCATTTCAATCCACTCGTCCCTGGTTATCCTCTCTCATTCCCACTGACATTTCCTTTTAATACAAGAGGTCCAAAGGCACTATCGCATTGTTGATGGACATCACTAGAAGGTTTGTTGTTGTTGTTGTTGTTGTTAAGTGCCGTCTAGTCAGTTCCGACACATAGCAACCCTGTATACAGTTTTCAAATAGCAGCTGGTGGATTTGAACAACTGACATTGCAGTTCAAATGGACTTTGCAGTCTAGCACATTAACCCACAGTGCCACAGCAGGAGTGTCTCCGAAATGGGACACTCACACATGGTTGTTGGTGGTCAAGTAGATCATGAAAATTTAACTTCTCAAAACCCTTCAAGGAGAGACAGGGGTATTAAGACAGAAAAGTGGATAAAGTTCCTCCCTTCACAAACCTGGTTGTAGCTTGTAGACAGCTTGGAAATAAAATAGTGCTGTCTTCCCTGATCATCTGTGAGGCATGACTAAGTGAGTCTGAGTCAGGGGCCTAGGGGCTCTGAGGTGAAGACTTTGCAGGAGGATTATGTGTACCTCTCTTTGACTGGTGGCCGGGACCCAGACCTAGAAACTGAAGGATCACAGCACAAAGAGTTAAGGTGGCAGAAGTACAGATGTTTATTAAGCATCAGCTTAAACCCTTTTATGCCTCTGACAACGTAATTAAAAAAAAAAAAATCATACTGATCAAAGGGTCTCCAGGGTTTGATATTTCAAAAACACAGATAAATAGCTTACTACAGATAAATAGCTTCACCCTTTGGGTGTCTCCCAGAAGCATCTGAAAAATTTCCAGGGGTTCTATAAAGGGGATGTGCATGTAACCAGTACATCCCCAGCCCCTACCCCAATGGAAAGCAATGCCCGGGGAATGGGCTGGTGGAAAAACAATATGGACCCATTCAAATTTTCTCCCAGAGACCATTCCTTCTTAGCCCTGGGGAATGTTCTTAGCAGGTAGCTGTTACCTGGGAGGTGCAGTTGGTGGGGGAGGCTGGGAATCAGGAAGATGCATTTATGGCTTTTGTTGGAAGCCTTTGCTAGCTCACACCAGTGGCTGAAAGGCCTCTCTCTGCATGGGAACTGCAGTGGTCAAATTCATGCCAATTATTCATTATACCCTCATTTCAGAAAGCAATGCTGATGTTCTAAATTGGACTTGACTTAAAAAATACCAAAAAACAAAAAAACCCCACAAAAAACAAAAAAGAGTAGAAAATTTTATGCTAAAAACGATTCCAAACAAAACAATCAGTAGCACATTGCATCTGTAAGTGTCAGGCCCAGCTCCCTGTATGGTGATCTCTCTGACTGTTGTTTCTTTCCAAGACACCAGGGTAGATGTTACACCCCAATCTTCATGTCTACGTTCTGCAGGTTCCGTGTCTCATCGGCTGTCATGAATTGGTCTGGGGTCTCTGATGGCTCCTTGTTCACCAAATGCACCATTTCCTGAGACTTGCTGGCTTCTCCATTTAGTCCACTTGGCTTCCGGTCCTCCACAGCTCCATTGCCATTGATCACCAGCTTTTTCTTCTGCCCACACCTAATAATAATAATAATAAATAAATGAGATAGGGTGCAAAACCAAAATCATCATCACTGTCATAGCCACCCGCATTCTCATGAAGGCTTGCGTTGGCTTTGCTATGTGCCCACTCTTTCTCTACTCCATCTTGGTCGTGGGTGGTGGTCGTGGTATGCCATCCAGTTGACTCATAGTGACCCTGTACACGGTTTCCGAGACAGTAAATCTTTACGGGAGCAGAAAGCCTCATCTTTCCCCCGCAGAACCACTATTCCAGGGCTCCTTCATCTTACTCCTAAAAAGACCTGTAGTTTTCAAAGTGAGTTCCTGAACCAGCAACAAAAGTATTACCTGGAATTTGCTGAAAACCATAAATCTTCAGCAAAGTTGCAGAGTCACACCACAGATCTACCGACTCAGAAGAGGGTTGAGTTCAGGATCTGTGTTTAACAAGTTCTCAGAGGGATTCTAATGCACACTCAATCTTGAGACTCAATGATCACAACAACTCTGAAAAGGAAGTGCTATTATTATGGAGTCCTGGTGTGGTGCTGTAGGATAAGCGCTGGATCGCAAAATCAGCAGTTTAAACCCACCAGCTGCTCTTCAGAAAGCCCATACAGGGTCACTATGAGTCAGAACCAATTAGATGGTACTGGACTACTAACCAACAAGTTGGTGGCTCAAACCCATTAGTCACTCTACAGGAGAAAGATGAGGACTTCTACTTCCATAACGGAGCTCTGGTAGTATAGTGGTTACAAGCTGGGCTGCTAACCTCAAGGTCAGCAGTTCAAAACTACCAGCTGCTCTGCAGAAGAAAGCTAATATTTACAGTCTCAGGAACACTATTCAAGGCCTCTATGAGTTGGAACTGACTCCATGGCACATAACCACCACCACCACCGTTACTCCTGTAAAGATTTACAGTCTCAGAAATCCTATACTGGGTTCTATGAGTCCGAAGCATCTCAAAGGTAGGGGCTTTTGTTGAGTTGGGCTTATTACAAGTGAGGAAATCTCAGGACTCAGAAAATTCAGTGACTTGCTCCAACCATTCAGCAGTAAATGAGTCAGGATTCAAACACTGGTCTGTCTGACTCCTAAGTTCTCATTCGTCTCCCACCAAAGTTGATACAGGAAATGTTTTCCTGCTTATAAAAGCACTCGTAGTCTCCAGAGGCTTATTTACACCAACCATGAACATGACAACTGTAAATCATTCTGATTTGTGTATTCAAGAAAGTCAGACTACTTCCTCTCTCAGTGAACACTTTGTTGGCCTTGTCAGGGTTATTACTGTATACACAGAGAAAAATAAAACAACATTTTTCTAGAAGTACCAGATCATATTGATTTTCTCCTTAACATTTGTTAACTTCCATGTCACCCCAAGTGTGAGAATAGGAAGGTGAGTATGTAAAACAAATTGCTCAGTATTACCAACTTCAAGGTTTCTGGTAACATTGCACAAGATTCGAAAGTGGAAGCAAGTCTTGTATGAAGAGCATGACTTTGATCTTATCCCTGGGCACCATCCTAGCATTGCTTCACTCCACCCAGCTTGACACAATGCTTCCTCTTTCCTATACCATGACCACTGCTGCACATACAGGATCAGGCTGTGCTTATCAGAAGCAAAGTTGCAGAGCCTCACGATGATTACAATGAGACGAAGAAAAGGAGGAATGGACAAGCATTTATTGGACACCTCCTGAATGCCAGACATCCTACATGTGATTTCATGCACTCCTTCTAATAATCACAGAAAACAGCAATTATCCCCATTATAGAGGAGGGAAAACTAAGGTCCACAAGGTTTAATAATTTGCTTCAGGTTACACAGCTAGTTAGAGTGATTATTCAATATTCAAGATTAGGCTTTTATGACCAAGGCCTGGGTTCTGCCCAGCTCTACCAAAGCTGCCAACCATGTGGCGATTTGGAAACAGTATGAAGTCAGAATTGCTCACTTTGCTGCTGGAGATTTGGAGCTATAGAGACAAAGCCTCTATTATTCATCATCACAGGCCATTTCCTCTTTAATTGCCAAGGCCATACATTTTAATCTCTTATTTGAGGAAACAGAAATGATACCTCCTTAACAGGAAGTATAATATAATCTTTCTCCTCTGGCATGATGCTTGGTAAGGGGTGGAGCAGGATGCTTGAACCACCGGGCAGAGTCAGGGGGGCTGGGAATACCCATGGAGTCCACATAGACAATAGAGTACATGGTCAAGAGCAGGGTTTGAATCCTGACTGCGCATTTTACTTGCTGTGTGACCTGGGAAAACTCACTTAACCTCTCTGAGCCTCAATGTTTTTACCTATAATATTAGATATTTAAGAGTATAAATCTCACAGGATTATGAAAAGTCCTTGAAACCGAATCTGGCATTTCACAAGTGAGTCAAATGCTATGATTACTTAGTTGTTCTTAAAAATAATGTGGAGTAAGGGAAACTGAAGCCTTGGATAGGCATCCTGAACAGCATCTGTAGCATACTAAATGTTAGAGAGAGCCTAACTGGAACTGTTAATACGGAAGCCATAGAAGATGGGCTATTCGTATGTCTTCTGACTGCCTCCACCTACTAAATATACTTACGATCTTTACTATGACGATGATCTAAAAGGCCAAAGGTGGAATGCTGCCTGAATTATTTTAAATTCTCAGGTGGCATCCTGTGTGCTTTAGAAAAAAGATAGCTGATTAAAATAATTCTCCAAGGATTTGAAAGGTTAAATGAGATTTTGTGGGAGAGTGACTTCTAAACTTGAAAAACTGTACATGGACGTGGCGGGGAAGGAGGATTAATATTATTAATCTAAATGAAATTGATTTAACAAATGGATGACATTTGATTCGTATTAACCGAGGAATAGTGGACTTGGGCTTAGTCTTGACCCTACTTCTCTTTGGATTTATGTGTCTCTACTAGGAGCTCTGGTAGCATTGTTGTTGTTGTTGTTGTGAAGTGCTGTCTGGTAGCATAGTAGTTATGAATTGGGCTGCTAATCTCACGGTCAGCAGTTCAAAACTACCAGCTGTTCCGTGGGAGAAAGATGAGGCTTTCTGCTCCCATAAAGATTTACAGCCTCAGAAACCTTGTACAGGGTCACTATGAGTTGGAATCAACTCCACGGCACATAACAACAACAACAACTATCTCTCTGGTGTGGCATGATAGGATAAGCACTGGACTGTGAACCACAAGGTCAGCAGTTCAAACCCACAATCTGCTCCTTGGAAGCTCTATACAGGGTTGCTATGAGTTGGAACCGACCCGATGGTATTTCACAATGGCAGCAATGGTCTTTCAGTGTTTTCTCAGGAGGACAGGATCCTTTTCATATGTTTTCAGTGCAATGATTAGTGCTTCAAGCACTTAATAAGTACTTTTGGAAAAACAAGTCCTAATTTTTTTCATTCTTCTCAGTTGTTGGAATTAAGAAAGGATGATGAGAGCTAAAGGAGCATGAGAGATCATCCAGTTCAACCTCGTCATTAGGTAGACACTGAGTGCCAATAGGTCAAGGACGTGGGCCAAAGCCACACACCTGGTCATCGCAGTGTCGAACCACGAAAGACTATCTGACTCTCAGTACCAGAGGTCTTGCTGAATGGCGCCCCGCCTGTCTCTTTCCCCCATAAATCCCATTGCATTCACTAAGCATACATAGAAGAAGTCAGATTGGAGCCTTGTCAGTATAGGGTGGACAATCTGGGTGGGATCTGTGAACCAGGTAACAGACATTTAGAAAATGGAGGATTTATTGTGAAAGACAGCAGAGTGGGTGGGGAGAATGTAACAACAATCTCATATTTCTTCTAGCAGACAGACTTTAGAGAGATATGAAGAATTATTTTACATTGCAATAGAGTTGTGTCATCAAACCCACTACTCACATTTAGTGATTTACATTTAAACCAATTAAGACCTCCCTGCTTCAATCAAACTAGGTATATTTTCAAGTACTCCACAGCCACAAGTGGCTCATGGTTCTCAAATTGCACAGTGCAGATGTAGAACATTACAGAAGGTTCTACTGAACAGTGATGTTCTGCATTGTCAAACTAGTTTAGAGGAAGTATAAAGTACAGCACATTAGACAATCTTGCAGCTTAATAAAAGGAAGGCATTCCTAAATCACGGAGCTCTATAGATGGGGTTTAACCAAGAAATGGTGACTGCTCACTGGGGTTTCCAGAAAAGACATTTATTACTGTGAAGATGAAGCTGGTGAATGCCTTCTCTGCACAATCAATGTGGGAAAGCACCTGTCATTTCTGTTGTATGAAGCCTTCACTGGTAAGGTCTTCACAGTTTTGCTTCTGTGCCTGACTTCTCCTCTTGGATCTTACTCATTATCTACCAACCCACTTGACTCCTAAAACACTTGTTTTTCTTAAGGAAATGAATCAAGTATGGTTTCTATTGACAGACTGTCAAGGACTCTGGTTGGGAGACAGCAAGGAAAGAGAAGGTGGGTGATGACAGGGGTGAAAAAAAGCAAAAGAAATAATAAAAGTCAGTTGTTCATGAGTCAACCCTGAACCATGCTGACCCCATGTATGCCAGAGCAGAGCTACACTCCACAGGATTTTCAATGGCTGAGGTGCCTCTGAGTGAACTCAAACCTCCAACATTTTGGTTAGCTACCAAGCACATTAATAATCTGTACCACCCAAGGACACCAAAGAAATTATACTAAAAACCAAACACGTTGTCATCAAGATGATTCCATCTCATGGTGACCCCATGTGTTACAGAGTAAAACTGGGTCATAGGGTTTTCTTGACTTTAATATTTATAGTAGATCTCAAGACTTTCTTCTAAAAAGCTGATGGGTGGAACTGAACTGCCAACCATTACATAGTTGTCAAGTGAAAACCATTTGAACCTTAAAGAAATAATAGATCCTCCAAAGATGATGTGACTCACAGATCACTTCACCATGGTAAATTTTTTAACCTCCTTTTAAAAAAAAAAAGTTTTTATTGTGAATTGAGT